ACCCAATAGAATGAGGCACATCGGTGCCTTTCAGGAAATCTTAACAGAAATTGGGTCACTAGATTCTTTGGAGCAAAGATGAAAGCTCTGCATTCATTCACAGCTACACTCAGCAGCAGCTCCCCTCTGTTACTTGAAAGAGCATGCAGGGCCTGGAGGCAGCAGCAAGTTCTCCAAGAAGAGCTAAAACACAGAAAAATCTTCTTCTACCCTTTAGCCTTTTAATGGAAAAGAAACCTTACCGAAAATGGTGAGTCCTGGGATAACAGCAAAACCAGGGCTAACACTTCAAAATATTCACATTGCTTCAAATTAAATAGTACTGATTAAAGTAAAACAAACATCATCACACCCTACTCTCTATGATACCCAATGCTGATTACCAATATTCATAGACTCTGAGCTGATTTAAAACAAATTAAACTGAAAATACGAAAAGAATAACTTTTTTTTCTGTTTATGCTAACAGTCCTGTATTATGAGCAATAGTAATGTTAAGCAATGGTTAAAATTTTTAAGAATCCATCTGTACTATGAATAAAAATCAGTTAAAAAAATAGCTGCATTTAGAAAGCATCCACATACTGAAATACAGTATAACCCTGAGTAATGTGGATTTGCTGTAATTATGCTTAGATTTACTCTTGAGGTAATTGGTGCTACAGAAGTTACATTTTCATTATTTCTTTTCTTCCTATTCTTCACACTCACCAAACCCAGTAATGACTGTCATGAGTCAGAGATAATTATATCAGACTTATTTGTCAGAGTCAGGTTTGTACCGTGGGTAACACAATCCTGATTCAACAGCTTCAGCATCTCTGAGACTGAAATGAATACAGCTCAAAGTCCATTCTCATCTGTTACTCTGCCTTTGATGCCTGTAGTAGACAGAAACTCAATTCTGCACAGCCTTTCAACTTTTATCCATATTTAAACACTTGCTAAAAAAAAAAAAAAAGAAAGTAGAGGAGCAACAAATTACTGTCTCAGTTCAGCTAGAGCTATTGCTGAGTGGACTCCATGGACTGCCATCTGTTAAAAAATAGATCTATAGAAGACAGAAAAGAAAGGCAACACAGGCGGGAATTGTACCCAGCATCAGTCTCACGGCAGCTGCAGATGTGCACAGCAGGTCTGCACCACTGCTGCCACTCTCCTCAGAGAAACCAAATGGGGTGCCAGTTTCCTACTGGTAAGGTAATGATCCTGGGAACACAAGTGTTGGGAGGGCAGGGATGTCAAACAGCACTGCAGGCCTCCCCACTGCCCATGTGTGGGCTATTTTATTGGAGGGAAATGCTGCTTTTGTTCTCTCCACTCATAAATATTATGGCCTCTCTCCTGAGGCTGCTAAGGCACAGCTGGTAGGTGGGGTGATGTCAGACAAGCATGGCACAGCTCACTGTGGCACCTTTCCAATGAAGGCCAGCTACACTACCTTGAACTTCCCTGGATGAGTGAGCATTACCCACTGATCGAAACCAAAATACAGATCGATTGTTTCGAAGATGAGACCAACAAACCAGTTTGGTTCAGAGATAATTACAACTTCATTCAACTTGCATCTAAAGAAACTGTCAGCGAACTTAATTAGTGGTTTGTGTCAGTGTCAGCGTGCATATGATACACACTTCTGTCAAGCTCCCTGGTGCTTCCTCTTCCATTTCCCCCGGCATGAAACACGGCAAGTGGTACAATTCGTGGTCTTTAGCAGAGGGCACAGGAAAGAAACTGACTGCTGCACTGAATATACTGACTTCTCCTCATGCATGGGCTGCTGCCATACCAGCAAGGGCTCTGAGGATGATGCAGCCCTATTTTACATGAACTGAGAATGTCAGCTCCTAAAAGTTATCAAATGATCTTCTATCTTTAGGAACCATAAAAGGCACCTCAGTGTAAAGAAAGAATGTGATACAATTTAAAGTCCTCTTTTTCCCTGGACTTTCTGACTCCCGAGGACAAATAGGGCCTTATCTACAATCCAGAAAGAGATCCATTTGTAATCTGCACCTGCTTTACATCCCAATGCTTGGCACAAGGCAATGAAAGCTTGTCTACTGTTAATGTGAACTGCCTTCATTGCAACAGCGATGAAACGTAAATATTCAGAAATAAATTTGTAAGAAAATCATGAGGCTTTTTATAGCTTTGATACATCTGACTGAAAAGAAAAACAGTTTCAACTGCATACTCACATTAGCAAATAAAGAACACACATATTTTGTTGTGAAACAGGGGGACCACAGTAGTGAGACTGAAAGCTACTAATTACTCCATAGTGGCAAAGAACCAGGTCACCTACTGGCTTGGGAAGGCTTTTGTTTGTTTATTTGTTTCTTAAGAACAAACAAACAGGACATACAATTAAGAGCACAGCAATGACATTGGGCTGCCTGCCTTGGGATGCTGACCTTTCTACTCCTCACTCCTTTATGGTTCATCTTTAGGGTTTAGTTTTATTAAGGGTATGAAACACAAGTTTCCATTTCCTGGTAGAGTAATTTAAAAGAGGAGAACCTGGAAAATAGAATCCTCAAATCAATCTTGAAAACGAGAATCTTTAAATCAACACCAGTTATGGTAGTCATAAACATGATAGCTATAAAAGCTTTTTTAAAAAAGTGGTCGTTTCCTAAAAAGGAAAATGATAACTTATGATATATGCACTTTAGATATTATTTGTAGGCCGTGGGCACAGCTGACTTGAAAGGAAAGGATGACTTAAAACCTTAGAACACTCCAGACATTCTGCCTTCATTTTTAGATTCTCTCATTGCTTAGATTCCAACTTGTTTTTGTTTTGTTTACAAAATGATCACATTGTTTCATTAAAAACTGCCTAGTAACAACTTGGCTGTGAGACTGAAAAATAAATAAATAAGTTTAAAAAGCAAACCGAATCAGAAGAATCATTGCCCAAGGACTTCAAATTCAAACAAGAAATGTTTAGCTCAGGGAGTTGTATTTTCAATTTCTTTCTTAGTGTAAGTATACAGCAGTGGGCTACCTAGAAGTGTATTTTTAATATATGGAAGACCATCTGTGCTTCATGGCCTATATAAAATGAGTGGGGAAATTTTAAGTTGAGGTTCCAAATATGCAGAATACAAATCACACAAATGGCACTGAAACTCAAACCAAAAGTCTTTCCCAAAAAAATTTGGGAAAGACAGGGCTTGAAAACAGAATCATCTTTGCATGTCTCAAAAGCTGCTCATTTCAGATTAGTAGAGAGGTCCTTTGGCAAAAAAGTACCAGTGAACACATATCCTATCTCTAGACATATCTGATACTTTTCTTTGTTTGTTTTTCCCTTTTGTCAATTACAGCCCAAAGTCTTTCACACCAGTTAGCCTCAGTTTCATTCTTGTCCATGAAAAAAAAAAAAGGTCAGTCTGAGTGTTGTTCTAACATGTACTTTCATTTCTGCAGATGATCCTGTTTCCTTGAAGACAAGCAGTTTCACAGCTTCTGTTAAAGTCAACAAGGACAAAAATCAGGAGCGAGGGCAAAAGTCTTGAGAATTATCTACAGTGATTGAATAGAAATCCCTGTAGATAATTACTGAAGTTAGCAGAAATTTGGTTCAAATCCTACCAGAACATCAGAGAGAGGCAACCAAGCTGTTGGCTCAAAGTGCAAAGATGGCTTAGGAAAATAACTTTAGAGAAAAGGCGCCAATTCATTCCATTAGGGCAGAAATACTGAATCATGTTCAGTCCTCAAGAGATATACACAGCTTTCAGTAATTCAACACAAGCGCAAACCACTATCAAAAGATTTAAGAGAAATTCATTATCCTTCTGAGATTTGACCATGGTAAATGAGAGTTTTGAGGGGCTTATGCTATAGGTACCCTGGACAAGAGCCTTAAAAGAAGGGAAGGTTCAAGCTATAAATACTAGTGAGGAGAGATCAGACATCTTTCAGTTGGCTAAACGATCAGTTCAGGAAGGTCATCCTTCCTTCTCTATTCTTTGCACATTTTTTATATCTCAGAACAGAGTATAAGGCAACATCAGTTCCCCTCTGCTCCAATGTAACTAAAGATGGGCATATTTTTTTGAACACAAACAACAAAATTTTTCTCTGCCACCAAATATGTTAAACATCTCATAAAATGACATTGCATTCCTTTTTTCATTTAGGAAGGAGGAGCTAACTAGCTGCTGCAGTTAGCAGGAAATTCCATTGACAATAAAATAAATAAATCAACCAATCATCTCAAAAGCCTATGATTCAATTATATGGGTTACAAAGAGCTTGAATTTGACAGTCCAATGTGTTCTTCTCTAAGATTTATCTGTGAACTTCCAATTTGAGAACTGAAGTGGAATAAACTACTCAGTGAAAATGAAGATATCCGGAAGGAAAAAATAATTAATTCAGTATGGCATAACACAAAGACTGGCTGGTGCCCATAAAAACAACAGAAGTTAAACAGCTCAGAAGGAAAAAAAGAAAAAAGGGAGGAAAGCTGCCTTACTGTTTATGGATCTGACAAAAGCCACAAACTCTGGGCTGTGAGTTTGCAAATGCAGAGACAGAAGTGTTTGAAGGCAGCAGGCAGCTAGGATTTAGCCAGTTCCTCATCTAGAATGTATCAACAAGGGCTAGAAAAGCCTGAGAAATTCTACTGATGAATCAACAACTTCCCTCTAAATGACCTAAAAGCTATTTTCTGTAGGTTTTGAAACGAGGGGGATTTTTGCCTGGGACAACTTGTGTTTCAAAAGCTCAGTGACAAAAGGGTGAGATTTAAAAAGAAAAAAGAGATATTATACAATAAGACTGTTGAAGTCTATGACAATAGATTTTGAAGATTTCAAATGCAAGTTAAGTATTCTTTGCACACAGAACAGAGCATCACAAGGTCAGTGATACATTTGCTATTAAGGAAATTGCCAGGTAAATCAGGATATTTCAGTACTGCAATGAAAGAATTTAAATATTAAATGACCCTAGGGAGGTATATCACAATGACAGGTACTTACATTACAATTGGAAGACCCATCAAGTGTCGAGTAAGAGCCATCAGGCCATTCTGTAGCATCTACAGCACTCGATTGCCTGTGCTGGGCTTCATACTCTTTCAGCTGAAATTTGAAAAGACAGAAAGAATATTTTCCAGTGACAAGAAGAGATCAATCTTCATTAAAATAGCAAGAGTTAATGTAATTTAATTCTTTCCCCCTGTATCATTGTGGATCTGGGAAAATCTGAATTTTTCCACTGCACATCTCACTTATTCAAAATAAATTGTCCAACAATCAGAAATAAGAAAAATGAGTTGCTGGGGTTTTTTTTCTTAGAAGGAAATGACCTGTAAATACTGAAATTTGATGACCTGTTGTTGGTAAAACATGAATTATATGTCTCCATCTCAGTGGACAGACTAAATCACAATGACCTGCCAATTTCCTTTATAAAGAAAATGATCTGCATTAAAGACTAGGAACCATTCTTTGTAATAAAAAAAAATAACCTCTCCCATTGTCCAATAAAAGGCTTCAGACAAAACCATTACTACAGGAGTCAAAGTGTTGTAAGGATAAGAATTGATATTTTAAAAAACAAGGCTGTTGCTAGTAGCTCAGACCACTAGAGGGAAACTCCACCAATCCATAGATGAACTATCAGATTAGGTACAACTCTTTCACGCCTGAAAAACTTTAACAGCAGAGAAGAACTATTCCCAATATTCCAACACAGTAATTTTAAAGTCTTGCATTTTTCAGTATATGATTTCCAGCTAAACAATATTTTATTCAGACAATAACATAAATTTATATTCTACAATAATCTATTTCACAATGTAGTATGTCAGTAAAGATACTTATCTGACTGCCAACCAATCTAAATGATGTTTTCTCTAATGGAGCCCATACAGAACATCCTGTGTTCCATCATAGTATTTTACACAAAGGTTGTGTTGAAACTTAAATCCTCTTTTGGTTCCTGAGCAATTAAAGCCTTGGCCCTATTGCTGCACAAATGCAGAAATACTTTATAGTTCTTTTTCTTGTCGTTTATTAACATTTAGAGTTTGTAAAGAAACACTTGTGACAGCCATCCCACTTATAAAAAAATATCTGTGTTTTACATCTGACATAATGTCATATGTAAAAAATGGGTGAAGATGTTTTCTTAAATGTTATATAAGCAAAAAAAATCTCCTTTTTGGCTAAGAAATAGGCATAAAAAATATAGCTTAAAGGAAAATAGTAAGAAATATATATGTTCTCTATTGAGTAAGGCAAGCTCAGCAAAACCTGAAGCATTTCTGTTGGTACTTAAACCTATGAACATAATAAGTAAGAGCTAGTACAAGTCAGAGATATTCTTCTCCCTCACTTTAGACAGCTGCAATGAAAAAGTCTACACTTAATCTTTTCTCTGATTAGTACTTTTATTTTTAATGGAGAGAAGCAATGCTTTTAGGACTCAATTTACCACGTATCAATTTCTGGTTGAGCTAAATCTCACTTTTCTCAATAAACAAAGGAATTCCTACCTAATTTATGCTACCTATTGTAATGGGGCAAACAGGCAGGCCTTCTCCACCTTCTCCTATGTTTTGTGAATGAAATAAAACTCCAGATTGATACATCCTACGCTCTAAAACATGTTTGTCAAGGAGACTGAAGCATGCACATATCATACCCTAGCAAGTGCTTCCTCAATGGTGATCATCTTCTCTTTCACCATCATCATCAACTGGATCCGTTCCTCATCACTCATTGTGATCTCGCTGGCCACATAACCGACATCTTCTCCTGCACAAAAAAAAGCACAAATATTGTAAGAATTCATGCACAGGGCAGGGTACATTGAAACTGGATTTTACCCAGTGCTCTAAAATCTTGTTGCCACTTGGATCTGGCAGGCCAGAAACACACCCTCCCTAGAGCAGGCTGATGGTATATTTTCAATGGACTGACTGATTCCGAAGTAACTGAGCAATAAAAGGAAGTAATTTAGAACTAAAAAACAAAGTCTACTTTGATACTGAAAGCAAGGACAAAAAGGAGAAATAAAAACTGACCGTCATCACGTGGCTATTGACCCTGAAAGACAAGAATTAAAGGAGGAGGTGCTAATGCTGGAAAAGTCAAGCACTCAGCCCTGAGGATTACTGGAATCAGCTGCCAGAACTTGCCTGTCCAGGAATGTTGAGCTGGGCCCTTGCAGCTCTCTGCTGTGGACTGGCCACTGCTTGTGATCTATCCAGACTAGCTAATCACCCACTAATCTGGCACATGGTGTCAGATGTACGGCACCCTCAGCTGCCTCTCCTGCTATGTGCTTGGCATGCCAGCACAGACAGTTTGAACTTGCCTTTAGAACTAGCAAGGACCCACACTTAACTGCAAGTGTGTCCCTTCTGGACCTACTAAATGGGCTTTTATCATCTTTCACAATCTACCTGAACAGAGAGACATGGGGAAGCATCTGTTTGCAACATAAGAAGCTAACTGATACACATGGGGAAACAGAAATTTTCTGTGGAAACACTCAATGCAATCCTCAGCTGCATCTTTTGCAGGAGAACTAGAGAAAGACACCTGACAGTTTAAGTGGAATCAAGCCTACATTTGCACTGGTCACCAGAGACACTTTCACTGCTCCTTCTCGTAGTGTCTTCTACTATGACAGGCTGGATTCAAGCCTAAAGCAAGCAGGTGAAAGTAACGAAATGCCAAAGAAAGGAGAAATATCCTTCTAATTTAAGCAGAACAGTATTCCTCTTACCAAGTCAGGACTAGGGGGAAAAAAAAAAGCATCTTCTTTAGATACATCTATCACTTATATATTAACTGCACCACTTCACACATGTGCCATCACTGGCAGTAAGGACCAAAGGCAGCCCAGCTTCATGTCTGCAGTCTCAAGGATTTGACTTGTCATTTTGAGCACTGTCACAATGAACCAAACCTGTGACACTTCCAGAGCCAGAGACCCCAGCTGCCACACTATCACAAATGCATTTTATCCCTTTGTGATGCTGGCTCCTTATGTTTTATATGGATAGCATGTGCACTACTGAAAAAACTTTACCTTTTGAAGTCTGCCTCATTAGTCCTTTCTGGTTCTTTCGGAAATTCTGCCAAAAAAACTTATTTTTCTTTTTCCAGTCTGCTTTCCCTAAAAGGAAAGTGGAGTGGGAGGATGAGGGGAAAGGGAAAAACAATTTTAGAAAGAAACATTAGTTAGTAAATTCTAGAGACACTTTCAAACATTACATTCCATTTTTAAATCAGAAACAAGAATAAAAAACCCTCCGTTTTTTCTGGTTTTCTTGATTTATTCCATACTAGAACTAAGTTGATGTAGCTATTTCAGGGCAATGCACATTCTTTTATAATTGCCAATGCTACAGAGGATGGAGATAATCCAGTAACTTACATATTTTGAATTATAAATATAAAATATTTTATATCAATTTTGATGTCTTTTGAGTTGTTAATGTCAAGTCCGGAGGTGTTTTGAAGTATTTTGTTGGTTTGTTCTCTTTGACTGAATCACAATTATGCAGCCTAAGCCACAACCCAGGTAAGTGATTTTCTAGTGTATCTGTGCATATCTATCAAGAAATGAAATAATTAACATATATATACATGCACACACACATGTTCTGCTACTTGGCATGAGATCATCAGCTACACCTGACCCTTGCTCTCTGTATGCTTGGACTGTACAGGGCTGGGTCTCTATGTCCACAAGCACTGGATTTCCATATGAATTGATGACCTCAAACTAAATAATTTGCTCTAGAAAGACAAATGGGACCTAGCTCAAAGTAGGGCATATATATCTGTATTCTGTTGAATTAACCAGGGCACATGCTATAAAGTTTATGCCACCTACAAATGAACATACTGTGCCTGATCTGGCAGAAATGCTACTGACAAAGAGCTATTAGTATTTAAGATCTCGCCCTGGATGACCTAGAGCTGAGCTTCCTGACTCTCTGAAATACTGCTTAAGTTTAGACTGTGTGGACCTGTCCCTAGAATAGCATTAAAAGGAAAAAAAAAAGAAAAACCTCCTAAATTTATTTTTCTTTTCCAATAAGCAATTTCAGAAACAAAGAAAGAAACTCTGGCAGATACAAACAAAAATAACAAAGAACCTCCATTATTTACTGGTGGTGGTAATTTTTGGAATACAAAAGGACAGGCTAGATGTGATCTAACATGCAAACATTTTCAGTTCAATATAACAAGTCAAAAGATGCATATTTATCACATGATAATGCTGGCTGGGCAGTTTCAGTGATCGCTCAGACACTCAGCATCAAACTGAAAGCTGCTGAGACTAGCCCTCCGCATGCACAAATGTTGCTGACTTCTGCCAGCTCTTCACATCCCAGCACAAGCAAAACTCAAAAGCTGTTTAAGAATTCCATAGGAGTATCAAATAAAATGAAATATACTGACCTACAGAGCCTTCTTCTGAACTTGATTTATGAATGGAGAGCCTAGGACACAAAAGAGAAATGGGCTTATTGATGCAGGCTTTTCACATTTCAGGGGAGTTGTCTGGTTACAGTAAATTATAGTTTCCAAACAATATATCATGAGCTGCTTTCTCTTCCCTTTTCTCCCCAACGCAGCAAGTTGGAAATGAAAACTGAACCTACTGGTCTGACCACAGTAACTGAGTTTCCTTCTGAAATGAGCCTTTTGTGACCAGCATAGAAAAATATATACTGACAGAAACCAACAGTTAAGGCAAAGGAGTCCAAGGATTCCTCAGAAAAACAATTATTCACATAGTTTCCCCACTTGCATTTGTAAAACAGTAATTTTGCTGCCTTAGAAACTGTAGAACTGGGATGCTGCACTTGTTTAGCTGTACATCAATTTTCAGCCTATTTGGTTTTTATCCGACAATCTGTGTAAGTATGTGCTCATTACCCCTCCAGAAGCCACCATGTGGAAGACAGCAGTAGAGATTTAAAGACAAGGTGGAGAAAGTTTGTCCAGACCCTATGAAGTGCAACCATAACTGACTGGAGACTACAGCTTCTCCCAAATCCCTTCTGTGTGTGCTTTCTCACCAGTGTACGCTCCCTTCCTCAAAAGCTAGCTGGAGAGACTTAGCCAAGGCCAGCACATGGGCTTTACAAACAACTCACTAAAATAGCAAATATATCTTTTGTTCTTGGTCTTTATGTTCACTGAACCAGTTTTCCACAATGGATTCCTACTCAGTGCCAACAGTTCATTGCGGGATCTCTGATGAGACAACATCACCCCGCTTCACTGCCTTTTTATTCTGTCTGCATAAATGGAGCTAACAGAAATTACCAAACCTTGCATTATTCTTTGAAGCCTTCCTGTGGGAATTGCCATTTAACCACGCTGCAGCAAAGCAGTGAACAACTTCTGCAAGCATCAAGGGCTTTGCTGGAGGCTCCATGTGCAAAGCATCACTGCGGTGTCTTTGCTGCGGGCTCGGCCTCGTGACACACCAATGTCCCATTGTGTGGTGGCTGTGCTGCAGCCAGGCACGATGGAAACACACACACCACAGCGTACCAAGCAGACCTCAAGCCAAATCATTCCCTGAATGAGGCCATATAATAACACACACACGACACGCTCTTGTTGCTGTCCATGCACACAGTCTGCACGGGCTTCCTGAGCTCTCTCAGACCCCCGGTAGAGGGCAATAAAGAGTTTCTGATCAATTCACTAAACCACTTGAAGGGAAATTATAGTTCAAGCCAGGTCGGTGTTTAGAAGAAACACGCAATTACTGGCCAACATCTTATAAGCAGGAAACACATCAATTTGCAAAGGTATCATTAAAGGGGAAACGAGACAGTACAAAGTTTCAGGGTGATTCAGTAATTCATCTAGACAAGGAGGGTCTGGCATAGTGAAGCTCTGAAATACTCAGACTGCTCAGAAATTTAATGCACCGCAAACTGCAAACTAATTAAGGCAAACAAACTTCAAATTTTTAGTGCACCACGAGGAGGGAGACCTTTAGTGTCTTCCTTGCTGGTGTTTACTCTTGAAGGGGAAAAGTCAGTAATATACCAGCAGATGCTTAATTTTTAAGAAGCCTGGTGAAAGGCGAAAAATACAAACCCCATACTTTCGGGACAAAAATTTCCAGCAAAAGCCTTTCAACAGCTTTTATTAATTAAAGAATTAATAAAATTAATTTTATTTTAATCAGGAATTAATCCAGACACCTCAAAGTAAAGTTGTCAGCAAGTATTTTTCTAAATAAAGGTAAGTCAGATTAAAAAATTACGTGGAGTTTGAGTTTTTTCTTTTTATGAAAGCCAAGCTCTGTTGGAACTGACAGAATTAATTCACTACATTTTTTGCAGATGAGCATGGACTCCACCCATCAAGCAGTAATTCTATTTATTTTAAATTAATTTAGTATCCATGAATTGTACCAAATCACTATCCTCAGAATATGAAATCTGTTAATGATCAGAACTCTGCCTCACTAGTGAAATCACCCTTAAAGTGGAAAGGCAGTCTCTTGTGCTCTGTGGCCTCCAAATCCATTTTTATCCTTTTCTTCTCTTGCACAGTTGCCAAGAACGATGCAAGTAAGCAGCAGGTGTAGCGGCAACATTTGTGATGTGGACATCTGTTCAGTAAGAGTTAGCCTGAGGCCACCAACTCATCATCAACTGGCCTCCAAAGAAGGGGAAGGGCAGTAGGAGCAAACATCTGACACGCCCGAACCAGAGCGGGCGAGGAGGAAAGCAGGATCCACAGCAAGCAGACCACTTCTCATTTATAACTGATTCAAAAACTATGCTGAGTTTCATCAGAGGATGCAAATTCCAATTATCATTTCATGCATTCCTTCAAGAGGAAATCTTCCATGCCTGGGCTGACCTTGAAAATGCTAGCAGCTGCTCTGAAGAGATGGAAATGCCAACAAAACTTACCACATAGTGGCTGATAAGGCATTTGTGCTTCAGCTCCACCTAACAATTCCGATGCTTAAAAATCCTCAGTGAAGTCAATCAAGCATTTTACTTGCTAGATGTCTGGTGAAAAACTCCAGACTACCTTGGTATCGCTGTATGTTTGATTTGCAAATTACACTCCCTTACTCTGTTAAATCTGCAGTGCTTCTGTGAACGTGCCCTGAAAGTGATTTGTGTTCTTCCATTCATAGACTGATAACTTGTACTGAAAGTTAATGATGCAGTGACACTTGGCAGAAGTTTCAGCACTGTGTGTCTGAAAGGGAGCCAAATGCCATTACTCCACCATGGAGGCCTTCATTTTTGTTGTGGTCTGATGTACAACTTCATTAGCAAACTTTCACATGAAATGCACTCTGTCACTGCATAAAGCAGAAGAAATGTATGGGTATATGTTCACACAATGAAGAACAAAACAAGATTTACAGCCAGAGGGAAGGAGTATTTTCTTATCAACCCATAATCTCTGGAAGCGGGCAGGAGATGGGGTCAAAGCGTTAATTCATTAATCTCACAAACCCAAAACCATCTCTAGGCCAGTACTTTGTGCCTCTTCAAGCCAAAGTGCTGAAATAAACAAATGAGAAAAAACCTCACAAAATCCAAAACAGAAATGGAGCTACTTTTTAGAGTACTCAAATATTACCGCCTTAGAGAGTTGATGGGTTTGAGCAGAATTTAGCAAACTACATCAGGCCACTAAGTGATCAGTGACACAAAATTTAGTAGCAACAGCTGGAGCAGAGAACCTGGACCAGGAACTTGTTGATTAGAAGGACTGGCTTAAGAGAAATGAGTTTACATTCAACATTAAAGAGTTCAAGTACACAAGACAGACACAAAAGTCAGTCTTTCAAATGCTGGAGGTCTGCAAATGACAGAGTACCTGGGGATATCAGGTAGAAGAGGATGACTGAGAAAAAAACCTACATATTATTCCTAAAAGGCATAAGGATGGAAACTAGATGTGGTATAGAGAAAGCTGTTAGAATAGCTAGGGAACTGGACAGCTGATCTTACAAAAGAAAGCTACAAAGTTTTGCCTGTCAAATTGGAAAGCTGCAAGAAGATTAACTTACTGCCTGTTAATAAATCAGGCACAGGAACAAACAGACACATGCTGGAAAAAATTAGAAAAAAGAAGTTAACATTTCCTAACTATTTGGACAAACTTCTAACAGTAGGCAGAGAAAGGGTGAACAACTTTAAAAACTTATTTAACTGCTTTTACAGAAGGGTGCTTGAAAGATAAGAGACCAGACCAGACATTTTAAACAGACCAGACAAGACATCATCATAAGGATTGCCTCTGGAGGGCACTTTTGGTTCTTGTTTTGCAGCCTGGGGGCTCTGTAAGAGCAATGTCAAAGCCTGACATCTAAAATGGTCTCTGAATCTACCTTTCCATGAAACTGCTGCAGTGGGGATAACACTGTTACAACAAAGCAGTACCTCTGAAACCTGGAGGTGGTCTCCAAAACTTGGTGCGCAAGGAAGACCAAATGCACACATTTGGTGACAAGCCAGCCAAGCCTGTCTGATTATTAAGACTGGTTTTAACTAGGCTACAGCTTTCCAGTTAATACTTTACTGATTCTGATCTCAGACAGAAAAACACTGGGGCTAATCTTTCATAGAGAGTGGTTGATATTACAAGAGACACAGTCATACGTGCCCCAGGAACATGCTGGTACTCCACAGAACTGGGAACAGAAACAAATGACACCATGCACTGCTTTCATGAATGTGCCTGTTGATTTTTGAAATCTCATCATTCCCAAAACAGAACAAATATGGGAAGTGAGAATGATGGGCATTTATATTTTAAATGCAGATGTGCTTTAACAAATGTCCGTGTCTCATTTATGGGCCATAAAATCCACAGGTGCATAGCAGCGTATGATGATGAAACCACTGCTGTTACCATCTTCAATAAACTGACAGTGCCCCTCTCATTCCTTACCAATGATTATTTATAGTACTCTTTGGAAAATGGTTTAGATGGGAATTTTAGTATATGAAATTTATGCATATTCAGAGCGGTGAATAAACCAGTGCAAAAGCCCATGCTGGCTCTGCTGCAAAGCCATTTGGTAATCCGTGTGCATTAGAAATGGCCCACTTACATAATTAGTATGAAAAACTGACAGACTTGTAACTGCTCCTGACTGAATACAAGGTAATTTATCTAACTGGAGCTGGCACAGGGAAGAAAATGGGCCTTTGGTATTTTTATCAAATTTGCATGAACCTGAAGAGAAAGGAGGCCTGCAAGGTTCTGACCTTGCTGGCACCAGTGTGAGAAAGGGATGGAAAGCAAAGAGGTTTCATTCAATTATCTTCTCATTAGGTTTCCATAGCAATGGCTCTTTAAGCAGGTCAAAACTTTCTCAGTGGAAACAAACACTGAGCTGCTTGTGGGCCATGCGTGTGTATGCGTACCCTGTAGCATGGAAGCCACCACACTGGTCCCGTGGGCTTGGTCTGTGGACAGGCAGCAGGCTGACGGG